CAAAAATCCACAAAAAATATATAAAACATATAAAACATATAACACATATAAAACTATCTATCCCCCTATTAATTCCCTCAACCTGCCCCATTATTTCCCCAAATCTTTCGAAAAACATAAAAAAATTCGACTAGAAACTTTTGCAATTTTTCTTGAAGACTTTCTTTATGATCAGAACAGAGTCAATCAGTGGATATTAAAAAAACCTGTCAAACTCGACTAATCTCACCATTTCGATACGATAATATAATGCAATAGTGTAATATTCTGTAACGGAGAGCTCTCCGACATGCACTTTGGATTTAGCAAGGACTTTCTATTCGGGAAGTAACATTATCTAATAGTCAGGGGAGGCTTACGGTTTTGCTGCAAGTCCTTAATACTCTCTTTCTACCCCCTCCGACTCCTCAACTCCTCAACAGCTTTAATCGTTGTGTTACGTCGTCAACTCCTGGGACATTGCGTGATTTATACAATCATAACATACCTGTACACACGCCCCTTTCTTTCGCTTTATCATATTAATAGCAAAAACTGCAATTAATTGTCGTTTTGTCGTCAACATTTTTTATCAACTCCTTTGCAAAACGCGTTGGGGCCCCATCGTCACACCATTTCGCGTAATTCAATATAATGTTACGTGATCAACACTGATTGTGTGAAAGTTGGGTGTATTATAATCTAATTTCGTTACTTCATTTTAATTTAACGTCTAGGATAACGTAATGCTCGGAATGACGGGGCATCTCACGTCATACTATTACATTTCTCTGTTAACGTTGTGGTAATATAGGCCTGGGGTAAAATAAACACTGAAGAGATATTTGAAAATAGAGAATTAATTTTTTTTGAATATTTGAATTTTTCAATGTCGAGAGAGTCCGAAGAATCTGCAGCAATTTTTTTTTCAATTAAATATCAATTATTTTATCAATATTTTTATCAATTATTTTATCAATATTTTTAGCAATATTTTTAGCAATATTTTTAGCAATATTTTTAGCAATATTTTTATCAATTTTTTTATCAATATTTTTATTGATTTTTCATCGGTTGATTTCAATGTCGGATTTTAATATAATATAAATTTATTTAGAAGCAGTCAATGAACAAAATCGGTTGCTCATTACTAATTCTGAGGGAATACTGCTCACGTTATTTGAAACGAAAGCGGAATGGACAATTTCTCGCAAAGTCAAGTTCAGAATCGCACGTGATTGTTATGTTTATCAGACAATTATTGTAAAAGCTGTCACTACTCATTTCTTCTCTTGATACGATTCTCGGGGACGAAAGGCAAATTTATTGTACGTGGCATTGAATTATTCAATTATACTGTTGTGCCTGGTGGAAAGTGAGTAGAAAGTGAGTCTCATATTTGCTGGATGATAAAGAAATGTGCGAAGAAAGGAAATAAATTGCATTTGAATAATTTCGACGGTTCAGAGAAGTTGAAATTCTTCTTTAATATGAGCATAATGTTTAAACTTGAATGTTCACAAACTAACCGGTTTATCTCGATAGGATTGTGTCCCCATCGCAGATATTACGCGTTCACTGTCGAGGTTTCTGTGCCGTAGGAATAAAGTTCACGGGCCATTTCATTCCTCAAATTGCACACGACTGACCTATTTGTATTTTTCTCAGGTCTTTCAATTATTGGATTCGTCGAGGGTGATATGGAGAGAC